CCGCCTCCCCTCCCCCCGGCTCCCCCGATTCAGCTGCTAGTCAGTTTCAGCAGCAGCTGAATCGGGGAAGCTGGGCGCAGAGCAGTTCCAATTGTCCGGCAGCCAGAGCACTTCCGGGTCCCTGATGGTGCCGGACCATCAGGAGTGCCAGAGCATTGGATGCCGGACCAATAGAGTTTTACTGTAGTAACAGTTTTGTTCCATGCAGTGAGACTTTTGCAATGGCACGGTATAAAAGCATTAGGTGGTTGCAGTGTGAAACGTCAAAATGGAGTGTTTCCCTGGGTTCAAAAAGGACTTTCTTATGTAACTGTATCAGATTGTACACGTGTGTTTATTTTGCTAGTTTATTTTGGTTTTATTTTATTTTTTGCATTCCAGGTTTGAGTTGATGAGGATGTGTTGGCAGTACAACCCCAAGATGAGGCCCTCTTTCCTGGAAATAATCGGTAGCATTAAGGATGAGCTGGATCCAGCATTCAAAGAGGTCTCCTTCTTCTACAGCGAAGAGAACAAGCCTCCAGACACCGAGGAACTCGATCTGGAGACTGAAAACATGGAGAGCATTCCTTTAGATCCCTCCTCCACCCTCCAACCCACTGACAAGCACTCAGGACACAAAGCTGAGAACGGCCCAGGCGTGGTGGTCCTGCGGGCCAGCTTTGAAGAGAGACAGCCGTACGCGCACATGAACGGGGGACGCAAGAACGAACGGGCCTTACCTTTGCCCCAGTCTTCGGCCTGCTGATCCTTAAAACCCAGAATCTCACAAACACACATGGTGGGGGAAGAAAGAAAGAAGAAAATATATTCAAAAGCCTACTGTACCTCAGTGGATCTTCAGAACTGCCATAGCTGCACACAGGAGAATCCTCTTTTCAGTAAACACATTAGTTTTTTCTTTGTTCAATATGCAAGCAGATGTTTATTTCAGTAAAGGACTCCGTTCAGTGGGGCGCAGAGTCAGCCTTTGAAAACTCTAATGTTAACACTTAATAGCAACAGAAAACTTGAGATCTGATGTGTCTCTCTTCTTTCTCTCTCTCTTTCTCTCTCTCTTTCTGTTTCATAATGGGAAACATATCTGCGTGCAAGTTCAACCATACAGCACTTTTATCAGATCAAAGAAATTGCAGGCCAGGTGGCTCCCCGTTAGCCCTTGCAAACACCTGCTTAACACTGTAGGTCTTTATAAAAACAGAATTTAAAAAAAGACTGAATTTTTAATGATACTCTAATCTTTTTAGGAACATGTAAAAGAACTTAGAAAGGGCCATCATTTGTCCAAGGTTGTTACCATTTTCAACGCTGCCAAATTTTGCCAAAAACAAAAAAAAGAAACTTTTTGGGGAGTTAGTGGTTTTGGTTTTTTTTGTGGGGGGGGGGATGTTTGTTTTTGTAGGCTTGGAAGGAGCAAACTAATCAACTGCTCCATTTAAGAGATACTGACCAATACACTCCATTCAATCATACACTGGTATTTAAAAAAATAATCTGATTGTCTAGATCTTTTTTTAAACTGGACAAAACATGATTTGTGTTCTCATGATGGAGAGGAAAAGGGGGGCAGGGTTTAGAAACAGTCCTCCCTCCATCCACCCTCCCCCACCAAGAATTCTGGACAAAACTGGCAGTGGTGAGCCAAATATCTCACACACACACACACTTGTACACTCTTACATATATTTCGTGCAAAAAAAAAAGTTGACCGCACGCCAAAAACAGCAAACCAGCCTGAAATGAACCAGAAGGGATCTCCGTCGTTGCAGCCTACTCTCCTTCTCAGGCTAGCTGGAAAACACATGTCAAAACAAATTGGAGAATACAAAAAGCGGTAATGGATTCAAGCATATGACGCTTTGTTGACCTTTGCTCTCTGTTATTAAGACTTCTCGAAGGGTCTTGCAGTTCTATGTTAGACCATGGATCATTTGCATACACATTGTCTTTTGTGTCACTTTTATAACTTTTTTACGGTTCAGATACTCATCTATATGTCTGTACAGAAAAAAGCTGCTATTTTTTTTGTTCTTTATCTTTGTGGATTTAATCTATGAAAACCTTCAGGTCTGCCCTCCTTCCCTTCCTCCCCCTCCAACAAATTTCTTATGCTTTGTACTATAGTGTGTAACTTTTACTTCCTTCTTCCTCGTAACTGATCCCTGTAACATGATTTGCCATGAACTGTTTAATGCCTTTTTATAAATACATTTCCTCCTCTTTTTTTTCCATTAGTTGTTTTACAACATCTTGGCTGTGTGGGTTACAAGGCTCTTGAGGAAACCGGGGGAAAAGGGATATACACAACCAGATGCACTCCAGTGGTGCTCTTTGGTGGTGGTTTTAACCCTATCTTCCCTCCTTCTGCTAGCCTCTGCCCAGGCAGCATTCGAGTCTGTTACAGTGCAAGGCACGATACAAACTCAGGTCAGAAAAAACAAAAAAGGTTACATATTGAGTACATTCTTGTTCAGTGTTCATATTCATCGTTGTACAAGAGTCAGATCCCCTCCTTCCCTTGCCTCTTGTTTTGGTTGTGACACGCATATATATATATATATTTTTTTAATTGTTGGGTACAACAGCGGACACCAGGCTTTTGGGTCTCTATTTTTTAAAATGAATCGTTTAACCCTTCCATCCCATGAACAACAGCTGCGTTTCCTCTAACTTGGTTGAGCTGTCAGTGTTCGGCATCGTTACTTATTGTTATGGCCTTTAAATGTGCTGATCTAGCAGATCCCAGCTAGTAGACTTTCTCATTAGAAGATGTTGAAAGGCCACATTCTGGACCGCCCCATGCTGAAGTTCCTCCCTGGTTTGCCATATGACTGAGCTGTTGAGATGAGGTGGGGGGAACCAGAGAGCTTTTAAGTGGGTGGGGGCCACCAGATTTGCTAGCAAACAGTTAAAACGTGGCATCTATGGAAACCTGTACAAGTACAAGCTTGTGCGTTCAGACCATAGATGAAACTTCAGCACAAAGGAGAAATAGTAGCTTGCTAGTTCAGCTGAGGCACCCTTACGAATGTGTGGGGGTGGAGAGAGGAGGGTTTAAGTAGTAGGAGGTGAGGGGCTATGATGTTAGTTTAAAAAAAGGAGCCGTAACAGTTGCTCATCTTAAGTTTATTATTGCATCTAACCCCTTGTTTAGCACTGATCCAACCAAATGATGGCAGTAAAAGAAGTGGTTCTGGGATGGAAACGTTAAATTTTTTTTTTTGAGTAAGAACAAAGAAAATATACTGATTGCTCATTGTGACTGGAGATTTAAAAAAATGTTTGTAGTGCTTTTTGCTTGTGTAGTTTTAGGTCCCACTATCTTCTCTTGCCTCTGTCCTGTAGTTATTTTTCCCTTTAAAGAAAAGACAAAAAAAAGTTAATTAAGAAGGTATTCTATGTAGGATTTTTTTATTTATTTTTGTGATATCAGTTTAAATCACTGTAGAGATGCCCCATAATAAATTTAAATACTGAGATAAGGGTTTTCAAAGTATGGCAGGGGGACAGTTTTTGATTTTTTTCAAACATTTATCTACCTCACTCTTATTTTTTTTATATGTGTGTATATATATATAAAAAACATCTCACATTTCTCAGCAGCCAATAGAAATGCCGTTGATACTGGTAACCTCTCACTCTACAAACCACATTCTCTAGGTTTTGGAGAGAAGCGGTCGCTACTTTTCCCAAAGGGTCACTTCACAGGGTTGTGCTTGTGTTATTTTATAGCAGTTTGTCCTTTTTGGTACCACTTTTAAGATTTATTTTGGGGGGAGAGCAAGAGACCCACCTGAGTTTTTATGACTTAAGAGCACCATTCTTTAAGAAGTCGCAGTAGCTGTGAAATCCTCTGTCATGGCAGTCATTGGTCAGCCAAATGTGTGTTCAGGTGACTGTATGTTCAGATAACTGCTAGATGGTGATTGAATGAAGGTATTTGATCAAATTAATTATGGAAGCCAATCGTCTGCAATATTTGAAGATCTGGGGTTGTTAGAATGAGATAAATGGCTTTTCTGTTAATCCTTAAGAGGGGGAAAAGTCATTCTTGACCATTTTTTCTCAGATGCCACAAGCACCAAAAGGACATTTGACTGAATCAATACCTAAAAATAAATTGGAGCATACAACAATAGTAACAACAGGGCAGAAATGTCATAGGCTACCTGATAACACTACACTGAGTTTACAACTTGGACTTTTTACACTTGCTGCTTCTGTTTGACAGGAGCCTTGATTTCTTAATGCTAAATGTTAAATGGGAAATTTGAATGTGCCAGTAGAAATCCAGTCCCTTCCAAACCCTTCTCTGTACATACGTTATCACTCTGGATTCTGATGGACCAGCCGTCAAATTGTGACTTCCCTCTAATAGTGCTTAACTGGTTTACAAGTGTACAGCACTAATATAACACAAGCCTGCCATTAACATGATGTATAATGTTTCTTTTTCTGATTCTGGCAGCTGTTCATGCAGGTGTTAGTTGTGGTATCTGAATAATGTGGCACTTGGCTACTTTCAGATGTATGTGGCCTCTTGAATATATAGTACTGTGGTTAAGTATAATAAAGTTTGTCTTTGGAAGGAGCGTTTCTAACACCAGAAAAACTAACAACATTTCTGATTTACTGGGTTTCCTTTGTGTTTTTTAATTTTTCCTAATTTGACAGTGACCTTTTGGTGTAGCGACTGCTCTTCTCTCTTGCACATATTGATTTCCACAACTGGAGATCCTCAGATCTTTCAGCCGGCTATGAGGGTTTTGTTAAAACTGTCCAAGTTAATGTTTTTTTTTTTAATTGTTATGTAGGTGGTTTAAAAAAAATTAGGAAAAAACACTAACAATATAGTACCCATCATGATAAACATTTCAGAAGCACTTAAATGAAAGGCAGTCATGTGACTAAGCAAAGTATGCACATGTGATGACAAAGTCAGTTCTCTTGGACCAAACCACCTTTACAATACCATTGTATTCTCTGTTCACAATTCTAGCCTAATTTCATACTGGTTTCTACAGAATTTGTTTTTATGTGCATTCTGAATATCTTTATCCATATGGGTTTTTCATGCCGACCACCCATTGACAGTAAATAACATTTGTGCATGTGAACAATGGAGAATTAATGGCTTGATATTAGCATAAAATGGCTTGTAATGACGCCTTTTCCTGAGAGACCACTGCTGGCTTGCTGGTATGGAGAATTTAGAACTTCAGCTGTGTTTGAATAAACCTGTAGTAATCCCATTTCTGAGCATGATTTAAAAAAAAAAAACACCCAAAAACCCACCCAACCTGCAAAACAAGCATTCTGACAAAAGGTACCAAAATATCAGTAACAAATTGGCGTCACTAAGGGAGCAAGAAACTTTGATTTAAGTATTTGGGGTTGTTCTTGTCCGACTTTGTCACTGTTGTTAAGTAGTTCAATGGTACTGAAGGTGGTTTGGTTGCAAAGGAAGGTGATTTGTATAAATACAGAAGTATCACATGCTTGGTATTAAATAAGATTATTTTTGTTGGGTTAATAGATTAGGCACAGAAGCCACGGATGATGTAAAACTTGAGGCTAACGCATGTTCCATCAAGCCTCTTCCTCCGTGTGATGCCTCCGTTCTTCAAAGCTGGTTCTAAGTGATGTATGACTCTAGATTTGTTTGCACTGATGCTCCTGTTGGTGTCACTAAAAGCCCAGTTTGCCCAGGATGACTGGTCACCAGATGGAACTACTATTAAGTCCTCTGGGAACTGCTGAGGGTCGTTGAGGACAATACAAGCCTAAACAAATGGCGCTCTTGTTGTTATACATATATATATATATCTCTTTTTTTTAAAAAAAAACCCTTTTCATTCCAGTAGTACAAGCAACACTTTCCTCTGTTACTCTTCTTATTTTGTTTGTCAACCATGTATTTAATAACTGGGCTAAGAAACAATAGGGGAAAGTGCAAGAGATCCACTCCTTATTAACCAGTGAAAGCCAGATATTGCAGCTCCACTCTTCAGTGTGCAAACAATAATTATAAATCAAAGATGACAAGTATATTAAACATTAATTGCCAGAGGTGCTGAAGATACAGAACTGTCAATGGTCAGGAGAAGTTCAGGGATTGCCTTGATTCAGAAGACTGGTTGTTCTGAATAAAGGCATTTAAATTACTTCTTGTGCATTTAAGAACTACAACCAGGTCAGTTGGAATTGAGAGTGGTAGTGTGGAAGGAGGAGAACAAAGGATGGAAATACAGGATTTGGCAGAAGTTTGTGATAGATCCAGAGCTCGGTATGTAGGATAGCATCAAGGCTCAGGCTTCATAACTAATCATTTGGTACTTCTAAATAAAGCTCTTAATGTCCTAAGTTCATTACCAAGAGGTTTACAGTGGTCATTGGTCAATATGAATTGCAGTGGATCAATTCTTGGTCAATCTGTTTTGCAAGTACCATATGATTATCAATAGTACGTGTGCATGTGTGAATGTTCCTTTTTTTGTATGCATTATGTTGATTAGTAATCCATTAACATTTTCAATAGGGCTTTTAAGTCCAGTAGATTACGGGTAGTCAGTTGACGAAGATCTGGTTTACAAGAACTAATTAAACGTTTCATTGCATTTTGTAAGTACATATAATAATACATAGAATAATTTTATAAAATGTTTGTAGTTTATAAATGCCTATAAAATAATTTAAAGGCACTTTCCTGTGTCTGTCTGTGTGTGTGTGTGTGTGTGTATGATCAGGTTTTTTTGATGGTACCAGTTTACTAGCTAGCTTTACAATATGCCAAAAAGGATCATTTACTTGTCCAACTCATGGTTCATTCATTTTTTCCCCCAAGCTTTGTGTCCCAGTGTACAGTGAATGATTGATTAAAGAGATTGAGAAACTGTTCTGTATCTTCAGTATCCTGGTTTTCCAGAACCCTCTGGTTGGGGCGGGATCATCTTAACTGGTCATTTCACTTTACTGTATAGTGCCGTTAACGTAATGGATTGAAAGAACCTCATTGGTTATGGAAACAGAATAGGGAATGCTGCTAAGCAGTCTTAGTTGTGTTATTTAGTACCGGTTTTTCTTCTTGTTGTCGGATGGGTTAAAGGATGTGATTGCGTAATAACATGATGAAAGGCAGTTTTCATAGTTTTCTTTAATTCAGTTATAACTGTTTACAGATTTCTTGTCACTTCAAATATTATGGTTTTGTATGTAGCCTATACAATGTGTGTAGATATCTAGCATCATTAGAGCTTTGAGATGAACAAGGAAAGGTCCCTATTTATTTTTATTTAAATAAGAATACTGAAGATCTTTTTTTTTTTTTCTAAATTAGACAGAACATATTCCCTCCCCTACCTTTTGAAGGTTATGGATGGTTTAGATGCCTTTGAGAGACTCATCATTCTGTTTTCTAAACCAGTGAGGTTTGAGTTGAAAGGATTGGCCAGAGTTTGTCTACCTCTGGGACAAAAACAAAACTAGGAAGTGCTACGGAACTGATGCATTTGCAAATACATTTACCAAGTTTTCTTGTTTAAAAAAGCTTTTTTTAAAAAAAAATTAAAACAGTAATAACATGGCCAATTTAGTACATTAAAAAAGACTTGCTGTGTATAAATTATTCCTAAAGAAATTCCTGTGTTTATATTAAAATGAATCAGTAGATGATAAAAAAAAATTCAAAATGTTTTTGTATATTCTGTTGTAAGAATTTATTCCTGTTATTGCGATATACTCTGGATTCTTTACATTATGGAAAAAAGAAACTTTTGTCTATTTTGAATGGCTGAAGCTAAGGCTCCTTTAGTTTCTCTTACTCTGCTTTTTTCTAGTAGTTACAGTACTACATGATTTAAGTTAAATAAAATAATTCTGTATGCATTTGTGTGACTTCTGATTTTTATTTGCTAGCTCAAACTTGAGCAAAGAAAGTACAGTCCCAGAAAATTAAAAATTCCACCCCTCTTGTAATTAGTATCATGCTCCTTAAGGGATTTGTTTTAAAAAAGGGGGAGGGGGGCTAAACTACTCCCTTGTTGCAGGGTATGTCAGTGTTAAGGTATCACATCTATTGAGTGTTTAAGTGCCAGAGTAATCTTTACTTGTGGAAGTTGTGGCTCTTTTGAAGATAGAAAGGCGCACTCTTTTCTTTGAAGGAAGCATATATTCAGCCTTTGCTCAAAGTCATATCTAGACACTGGAAGTCTATCAACCACTACCTAACTACAGATGTAACTGTTTGTATCTTCATGCTTCTGACTCATTTGGCCCTTGTCATTCAGAGTTTACAACAAAAGGGATTGCACTTGTGGCATGAGAGGTTGGAGTTGGACAAATATAAGGCCTCTGTGCTGATACGTTTATCTGCTGTCTTCGTCGCTGAGGTGGTGGTGATATGTTACCTAATCTGAGGGTTGGGCTGTCTTTCAATTGTTTCTGTATCTTTCCTTTTGGAGAAAACTCTGAAGATCCAGTTGGCTGATTCCTCTCCTGCTCCAATCGCTCTTTCTTGAAGGGTATCTCATGGCAGTTCAGAGTCTCTTGGTCTTATTCAGCATGTATGCAAAGCTATTAGTGAAGTTACCAAGGAAAATATGGATTGAGGGCAACAGTGAGACCCTATTTCATGCCTCTGTCCCACTGAGTCTGGAGAGCATAGTATGGTAGGATATTTTAATGTGTGGCCGTGAATGAGATACAGACGATAGCAGTGAAAGGATTTGACCAGAAAAGTCTGGAATTTTGTTATCAAGGGGTCTGCTTTGCTTCCCAGCTGTTTTAAGTCTCCTCTTGACATCAGTGTGGCTAAGAGGTCATTCTTTCCTCTTATATGCAGACTGTCCTGCCATGATCTGTGCCTTTATTGGTGTGAGATTGGATTCCAGCAATACTTGTCTTGAGAAATGATGCCTTAAAATCCATTCAAGCGTTAAAACTAGAGTAGAATGCAGCAGCCTACTTTTTAAAATGGGATAGTCTGCCGTGATAGCGTGTGGCACTGGTCTCCATGAGTTGCCCGTCCTCTGGGAATTTGAAGGGTAAGCCCTGAATTGCTGGAACAATCTGACTGAGAGACAGCGTCTTAACTGTGTACAAGGATTGCCTTTTCATTGACAGGGACACCTATAACCTGGGGTAAGTGTTACTGTAATTAAAATCCAGATTAATTGATTTACTGTTGCTGCCAAATTGGAAAAATCCACTTTCTGCAGTAATCCTTAATTCATTAGAATAATTTTAGTCTGGTTTGGCTGTGCAGGCACATATCACCAGAAGGAAGTGATACCAGCTGCTTCTTTGTGTCAAACAGCTCTCTCCCTAAAAATACACTGAGAAAGTGTTAGAAGGGTAGCTGAGTTAATCTGTACTAAGCTTAAACAACTTAAACTGTAAACTTAAACAACAAATGGTCTGGTAGCACTTTATAGACTTAACAAAACATGTAAATGGTATCATGAGCTTTCATGGGTAGAGCACAACCTTACGCAGGAATTTGTGTGGGGTGCTTTTTTTGTAAATATGGACTGCAACAATGTGAACGCACGCACGCCCACACAGTCCCCCAAGTTAGCATTGGTTTAAGTTGTTGATGTATGGTACAGCCATGGAGAGCACTGAGTGGGTGCCCATGCTAAGGAAATATAAAGAAATAACTGAATACATAGAAGGATAAACAAGTTCATTAGAAGGAAGATTTTTCTGGTATTCATCTTAACTCTTCTCTTTGAATGTTGTTCCCTTACTCTTAATTATGCCTGCCCTTACCTCCTGGAAGAACTTCTCTCACTCTTATGCAGTGCAGTTATTGTAGTTGTGCAGTCCCGTGATACTAGGGAGACAGAATTTGGTTCAATAAAAGATATTATTTCATCCACCTTGTTTCTCTCTGTCCTCACTGTTTAAAAGGTTGCCTTCTTTCCAGTATTACAGTAGTTTAGATGGAATTCCAATTGATACCTTTTTTTACACACCATAACTATTTAATTTGAAAATAATCTGGCAATTTGGGACTGAAACCCACCTGGAATATGCAGTATTGGGGCAGCAGAAGAGAAACACTGCCTGCTAAGCTCAGTTTGACCACTTTCACTCTTTGCGGCTGTCAAGATGCGATGATGGTTTTATATCCTCTTCAAATGTGAAATATATTAAGGCTCCCACTTAAACTTTTATCAATGTCAGAAAGTCCATTGCTTTTATGACGTGAGGATGCCTGGATTATTAATCAGTGTTGTCACACCTGGTTTTAATGGTATCTAATGTTAATATATTCTTGGATTCATGTGATTACAAAAGAATTTCAGCTTGCAGTTAGAAGATTGGTTTCTAACCCTTATTGTGGAAGAGAAAAATTGAAAAACCTGAACCCTAAAGGCACTAACACCAGATGGCAAATTAAAAGCCAGCCCTTCCTTTAAATCTTAATTATTTTTAAGCCAACATCATGATTTCAAAATTTGACGTTAGTAATGCTGCAAGTTTCATTGCCACTTAAAAGTTTCCTCACTCCAATATTGGGGACTGTTAAAAACAGAATTCTGTTTGTGTAAAATGGCATCTATGCAGAGACCCAGCAAACCTAAGTGCCTGCCTTATAATAGGTGCCTATAGATGAAGAATAGTTTTCTTTGCAGACAGTTTAGTAGAATGTAATATATTGTTTAATTTGTAGATATCCCGTGCATACAGTGATCAAACTTCACAGCATTCGTTTCATTTAAGGCTTCATTTCCAAAAGGGAGGGCAACAGGTTTATTTTGTAAAAATGTGTATCAACTTACTGTGCCCATCACTGTATTTGCAAAAAATAATTGAATACCTTTGCAAAATGGACAATTTGTGCATGCATACAAATATCTGGGAGCCAATTGCAAATACTGGGGCTTTGCAGCCTTGTTTGAAAAATCTGTCATCTGAACAATATGTTTTAACTCTTATTCTAAGGCAGGGGTCTCCAAACTTTTCAGCCCGAGGGCCGCATTAACTATCAAACAGCAATTCGGGGGCCGACTACACACTTGAGGTCCAAATAAAAAACAATCAAAACATGGATGTTGTTTTTAATTATTTATTTAATATTATTTTATTCAGTTATTATTTAATAACACATTGATACACTACACATGAACACCTGTATTAGTGTGAATGGTGAAATTGTTTCCTGGATGCCAAAATAGCAGACATTTCTGGCTTTAGATTTGTTGTCCCTAACATCAACAGTGACCTGAGATTATCATCGGACAAGTTTGTTCTCAAATTGTTCTTCACGTATTTCATTCTTGAAAATGTTTGTTCACACAGGTATGTTGTTCCAAAGATTGAAAGGTACCTTGATGCAAAAGTTTTGACATTAGGAAAGTCTTCCTTGGGCAAAAACTGGTAAAAACCCACCAGTCCTATTTTGAACTTGTCCCTAAGGAGGTCATTTGCTTGCAACTCAATGACTTCCAGCTGCAGTCATCAGCGGCGGCTGATCTTGGCAGCTTCAAATGGGTTTTGAAACAATCTCACTTCTTCTGCCTTTGAATCCAAAAAGGTCTCCACGGGCCGGAGGAGAGGGCCTCGCGGGCCGCATCCGGCCCCCGGGCCGTAGTTTGTAAATTTCCGTAATTTTTTTTCCGTAGACAAAAAGGTCTCCACGGGCCGGATGAGAGGGCCTCGCGGGCCGCATCCGGCCCGCGGGCCGTAGTTTGGAGACCCCTGTTCTAAGGCAACGAACTCAAACACTGTAGCTCACAACAGTTACTGTAGTGTATGGGTCTTTTGCTGTTGTAGGTTCCGGTATTTTAGAGACTGAGGATGACTTCTTTGCATTTCATTGCATGTTCAAACTAGGCACATTTCTGTGACCATTTCTGGTGCGAATGTAAATGGATCTATTGGAATGCAAAACAGGAACCTCCGGTCTTGGGGCTAGGAGCAGGACCTGGCTTTGCAGGATGTGTAATGCTGGGCACAGTCAGGGCAGAGGAAAAGACGGAATCCCACCAACCATAACTGGAGGATTGGGGATGTCCCACGTGGTGCAGGACTTTTACAAGCCACCAGAAGCTGGGTTGTGAAGCCTCAGGCACTGGGGGACGAAGACACGCTGGAGAGGAAGGGCGGCGTGACTCTAGGCGCTCTCTGGAGTGACATGTACCTGTGTCCCGAGGCCAGGCAGTAGCTGAGAAGCGGGCAAGCAGCTGCAGTGACCACGAGGGAGAGCAGCCACGCCTCACAACCTCTGCTGGCTACAGCTCTGATCCCTGGGACCTGGCCTAGAGGAAATGGGGCTCATGGGGCCTTTGCCTTGCACCTTAGCACCAGCAACCCTACCCAGCCTAGCTCAAGCAGAGTTGAAGCGGCGCCAGGCAGCAGCTCGCTGGCCACGGGTGCTGGAAACTGCGGGAAGAGCCCCCCCCCAGCATTGATCGGGGAGTAGGGAGATCAGCTGCAGTCTTCCCCAACCAGCTTGGGCAGTGTGCACCCCAGCCTGGCCAGGATTGGCCTCATGGGGAACCATGGGGAGTGCATTCGCATCCCGCCTGCGTGTGGGCCTGCCACTGGAAAGCTTTGTGTGTTTTGAGGAGGTGACTGTATCTTGGCTCATAAAAGGGAAACTTTTCTGGAGGGAGGTTGATTTTAAAGGCCCACAAGATGGGAGCATTGCATGTAATTTTCATCCCAAAATACAAACTTTTTATAGGCACATTTTATATGGCTCGGATCTATTCTACTGGCCTTGGGAGAAAAATTTCCCTCGTGTATAGATGAAGTTGAAATTTTGTATGGTTATAATCGTGCACGTCACTGAATTTTTGTAAGTAAGATGTACAAAGTCAAACTGCATATCAGATATCAGAAACCAACTTTCCAAGTGTGTGTTAAACCACTTCCCTTTCGTATCTTTTTAACAAGTCTTTGAGAGCTGAGCAAGGTAACCTTTTTAATACTATTTTCTTGAGAATTTTCCTTGTACCCTAAATCAGAAGTAATGTTTGATTTTTTTTTTTTTTTTTTAAATCTTATGGGTTGCTGAGGAAGGCAAAATAATTTTATTGTATTTTGAGAAACTTGAATGTCTTCTATAAACCATCCTTTTTATTCTGTCTTTTGTCCACACTGCTTTAACATCTCTAAGATAATCATCCGTAGGGCTCTTCCTAGAAAGTCTGCTGTTACCCATTTGGATAATGGTGGCACATGGATAAAAGCTGCTCTTCCATTACCGTAATACAGAGAGGTGTAATAGATATAATCACAGATGTACCTACAATATTAAAAATAAACCTGAATTAAGGAAAGCTAAACTTGGATTTATGGTAATTAACCACACTTTACACAGTCAACGCTGATTTAGTTTGTACATTGAATTAGGAAAATTGGAAATTAAAATGGTTTGAGAAACAAACAGTCCTTGAATTTTGACTTGATTTGATGGATTCCCACTTAAATAGAGGTAGCAAAATAAAAAAAATATATGCATGCATTGTTTTGTGGGGTCACAAACTAAATTAGTTGGGAAATTACCCAACTGTCCCCACACACTCCCCTACCATTAGAACCCCATTTCCCACCCCTTTGAATAGCACAATTTGTTTTTAAAAAGTGCATGTATAAGATGTTTACTGGATAAATTCTTCCCTTTTGTCCTACCACATCATTCCACGACCCAAACACTCTGAAAATAAAAACTAGCTAATTTTGACCTTCAAGAATCTTTGGTTGGTTTTAAAGACAGGTTAAAAACACAGATAAAAAAAATTAGTTGTCATAGACTTTTTAAAAAGATTTTAAATGAATTTGTTTACTCTTAAATTTGCTCCTTTTGTACTCCTCTCACTCTGTTTGGACAATGAAAGTGGGTTGAAATCAGGCGAGTCAGAATCACTTTCTCATTATGTTGTGCAATGCTGAAAAATATTGGCCACTGTCATATTTTGTTTTAAAAATCGATTCTACTGGAATTTACAAATTCTAGGAAACATTTGTGTCCACCTTATTTTTCGCAGATGTCTTGAGCTTAAATTTTCAATCCCTCTTTTCCTTTTTACTCCTATGACTGTTAACTTTATGCAGATATTTGTATTGGGGGGAACAAGTCCTTGTAATGATTCTTGAAGGAGAAATAAGCTGCTTTAATTACCTCTCCCACTAATAATGTGTTTACCTTCCTGCATCTCTTGAAAAGACAATATCAATCCCTTCCACCGAAATATTTTTCCAGAGAGTTTTCATATCAATTGTAGACTCAATCCTTTCTGGGCCATCTGACAGACAACAACCACCTTCTGGGCAAAAACCACACACATCCATCTCTTTGTAGCCTTTGTTCTTCCCACACTGTTCAAGGATGATCGCTTTGGCAGATGAAGACAGTCCAATGTGGACAGTAAGCTGTTTTTTTGCCCCCGCCAAAGTGAGTAAGAGGAAATAAAAATGACAGACCTGTTTTTAAAAATCATCCAATGCAGGAACACCAAACACTTTGTGAAATACCAGCTCCAAGTTGAAGTATCTTTATCGCTCCTCTTTAGAGAAAAGTTAGGTAATCCTTTGTAATGAAGAACAAAATTGGACTTTCGTTGTTTGTTTTATCTACTTTGATGATGACTTAAGTGCAAGGATATATGCCACATCCTTTTTTTTTGTTTTTTTTTTTTTGTTTGTAACTGACAGAGGTTCTTTCCGCTATTCTGTACACAACACCATGGTTAAAAGCTAACCTATTTATTTCATCATTAACTTATGGATCAAATTGCACCAATTTTCATCATCATTCTTTAGCTGACCCTTTAAAAACTCCCAAAAGATGTTGCACAGTGTCTGTCAATAAGATTCTAAAGGTGCAGATTATATTACCCACTGGACATAGAGTCTTCTTAATCAAGCCGTCAAAGTTAGCAGCTTCTTATTCCAAGTAAGTAGCTTTCACACTTAAGCAAAGAAGGATCTTTTATAAAATCCTAATTTTAAAATATTCTACTGGATGAAATGCTCGAATAAGTTTTCCTGTGCTAGAGCTTTATTTCTTCTTTTAGAGCTTAAATTCTGAGTTTCTTGCCCACCCAAAACTTCATTAAATAGATGTTTTGGATGCACAAGGATTGCAGGATTTGGCCCCAAATTGGTGTTTATCAATGTTTGTAGGAAAGGACATTTTTATGTCTAGTTAGCAGCATATAAATATTTTATACCATGCTCATCACTATACATAAGTGCCACTTAATCACCGAACACCAAGTAAATGCATCACTTTTAGGCAGAACTTACATTATTTCCTAATTCTCATTAGGTTAAACTGCGTCACAGAACATCCCACTAAATACGTTGCTCCTGATTAACACATTTGCCTACTGAGAGGAACATTCTTTAGTGTGGTAAAATAACTAACAAAATTGAAACTTTACCTATCCACGTAATATCTCAAGATGCAATAATGTACCATTTTCTAACATTTTTTTTAAATTGCAAACGTATTTGCCTATAAGTGATTGGTATGCATCTGACTGAAATTTATTCTACAAAAACATTGTTAAAAAGCCTGACATTCTACATTGATCTTGTGTCCTTTTATAAGAGGATGGGGATTTTTATAGGGAGTCAGTAAAAAAAACAAATTAAAAAGTTGCCTAGAATGTATCCAGAGTCCATATTCACCTTTCGAACACCAGCTGTTCCTCTACACTTCTCAAACATTAATGTGATAGATTTTTTTACACCAAGACATAGTGAGCAATGGTTAGCTGTCATTCTCTTACAGAGCTACACGCTCAAATATCATGATGAAAATCATCTGAGATCCTATGTACAGTAGGAAAAGTTGTTTTAGTACCCTGAAAGGCTCTCTCCAGCTGCCATTTGATTGCTGTGAAGGAACTAAAGGAGTTCTGTATCTCTGTACCACCGCTCCATCTAAACTAGACACTGGAGAGAAATATTGCACCCACCCATGCTTTCTCAGATATGCATTCCCATCTCCCCAGTTATTTTTCCACGTTTGTTTTTTCTGAGCTTAATTTAGCTAGTATCATAGAATCCAGCACTGTGCCCCTTTTGCTCATTGCCCAGAGCTACACTAGCTTTGTTTGCACATCAGTTACACCTGTTGCAGCTGAAAATCCTTACAAACAGGCATTGCATCTGTCTGTGTTCTGGCTAAGGTCCACTTTTGGGTGGTGATCTAATTGCTCTGATTCCTTTTCCATCTGATTCTTGTTAAGAGCATCCAACAGCCTTTCTAGAAACTCAATGAATTATTTTGGGAAAGACCCTCCTAATGCAGGTAGCTAGTGTAACCATTTCCAGTGCGAAGATCACCAGTGTCCCCCGATGTCTTTGGTGATGGCCCACAGAATAGTTCTCTCATTGTTTCATTCAGTAGAGGTGTGGGGAAGAAAAAAGTGAGATTCTGATTAAGTTGGTTCACAATGAAAAACAAAGAGAATCACTGGCACTAATATTATTGGTGGTTATACTATGAAAACACCTTCACGGCATTGTCCTTCAAAGTCCCGATTGTCCATTTTGTCAGCCAGAGGGACAACATTACATTTAATTGCTCACTATCACTTCAGGTGCTTAAAAGATAATACCCTTTGTTTTGTGGATTGAAAAGAGGGAGAGGTTTTGAAAGCTCAAGTAGGTTTCTTTGGTCTATCCACCCTATCTCTCAGCCCATGGTTGGAAGTTCTACCCTACTTCTCTCTCCTGTTTTTCCTGACTATCTGTAGTGGACAAGCTGTATCCACTCTCTGAACAGACACTGCAATATGTGGCTCTATTTTAATTTAAGCAATAAATAAATAAAATTCAACTATGTAATTATCACTGACCAGTGGTTGAAGAGTCCCCCATATCTTGCACACCAGTTCCTTTGCTTTTCGGTAAGCCACGGGCAGTTGCATGATGTGTAGATCTATGTTTTCACCAAGGCCTAACATAGACATCTCCTGTACATAGAAAGAATCAATGTGGGTTTGTAAAAGCATTCTTAAAAGGGTGTTGTGAAAATCAGCTTTTGGTCCAATTCAGAGAGCACGTCACAATGCAATGTATCTACCCTAGTGACTCCTAAAGAGTACATAGTGATGGTTGGTCATATGTTAGCTCTACTTGTTTCCAGAGACCAAATCACTTTAAAAGAAGCTAAAATACATTAAATATTTGCCTACTGCCACTTTTTAAGTTAAGCTATTGTTGCTTTGCCAAGAGATGTCTGATTATCAGGGGAAGGGAGAGGGTCCATACAATCATTAATGGTAAGTCTCAAGATGTCACAAGACAGTGTCTCAAGATGTCACTTTAGGAAAAATGTTTATACTCCTTGATATAACCCTTAATATAACCAACACTGTCCCTTCAAAGGATGTAAGGGCTGAATTTATACTTGTGCTGACACACAAATCTTATAAAATTCCCAACAAGGCATCCTGTCCAACTTCTGGCAAGGAAGCACTCTCCTTTATGGGTGTGTCTACACAGCACCCTAAACTCGAAATAAGATACGCAATTTGTGTTATGCAAATTGCACATCTTATTTTGAGTCTATTTCAAAATAGATTATTTTGAAGTTTGGCGCATCTACACAGCACCAAATTTTGAAATAATGCACTATTTCGAGCCATTCCTTAATCCTCCTGCAATGAGGTTTACCGGGATGGCAAAATAGTATGTCCTGTTTTTTGAAAAATATTTTGAAATAACGGGCAACTTGTGTAGACACAGGGTAACTATTTTGGGATAGCCGAAATAGCCGTGCAATGTAAAGGTACCCTATACTATTTTCTAGGGCTCATACAAGTTTTAGGTGGTTTGGATAAAGAGGAATTGCCTCACTGCTCCCAAGCTAAAGGGCTGGCCATGGGAAAGTTACCTCTGCTTTCTATACAGTTCCATTTTATTAACAGCAGAGATTTGTAATCAAATAGGCTGTGAGAGGTGCCTATTTTTGTTGTTCCGTTACTCATTTCAGGCTTGGTGATTCTAAAACTGTAAAGAAGCTGGAGCAGGACAAGGTCTCCCTGGACTGTGGAACATCTGCCTGGTTGCTGTAGGGGGTTCCTCAACACACAGAAATTCCACTTAGTGGGATGGGATTCTTCTTAGATCGATCGATCGAACATTATCTATCTATATTAGAGTGTGTTTGTGAGTCTGCATCCATTTGTTTGTTCAAGAACTCCTCCTAAGCTGCAAGAGTTAGGATCACCAAATGTTGTAAGAGACTCAAGATGAGCCAGAAAAATAGGATGAACCTGGAATAGGACTGCTTCTCAATAAACCTTACAGAAAAGGGAGAATGGAGAAATTTGGAGAAGTGCTCTGTTTTGGCACAGTTAAATCAATGCTGAAGGTTTGAAAACTAGAAGACAATGTTATTGGAAACCAAATTGACTATGGCCCTTTCTTGTTAAAACATAGCAAATGAGAAGAGTTTAGGGATGAAGAAAAAAAATACACTTGATGGAATTTCCAATTTTAAAAAATTACTAAGAACCACCTCACATTTCAATAATCCCTTTAAGAAATCTGAAAGTCATAAAAATAAAACTGTATTTTTGAAAAATAAAAGTGTTATAGTAAAGTTTTAGTTTTAAAAAAAGTTATAAAAATTCCTTGAGTTAAGGACCGGAGCAAAAATGAGTAAATCTGCCAGTAGGTTATAAAAAGGTAGAAGAGACTTCTAATTAATTATCTAATCTGACCTCTTCTAATATACTAGTCATAAGATGTCCCTTAATTAATTTCTATTTGAAGCAAGAGTATTTTAGAAAAAGATCTAATCTTGATTTTAAAAATGTCACTGACAGAAAGATCACCCTGATTCTTGATAAGTTGTTCCAATGGTTAATGGATGAACCATGTGGGGATTCTGATCAGGAGTGTGGGGGTTAAGGTTGAAGGGGACTGGCTGCTAAGCCATGAGGTGGTCTTCTGTGGGAGGTAGACAACTGCAGAAGGAATATGGTCTGTGTTAGGGAAGGGTCTGGTGGAAAACAAGGTGTGTACCAGGGAAAGGGCATGGTGAGTTAGTACCCCAGTGTGCCTTTAGGAAAGCAGACCTGTTTCTCACTATGGACACTTGTATGGATGGGGCCCATGTCTCCACTGTGTGGACTGGGAAACTTGCCCTTGAACACTGACTTCCTAAATAAACTGTTCCAATTTTCTTGTCAGCGGAAACATTGATTAGCTGTGCTCAATCAACTATCTGACAGGAGCAAGGAAACAATGCCTGCGGGGAAGTAAACACATTTAGAGAACACTGCCAGCCTTTTTTCCTCTAGGCACTGACAAGTCTTTGAGAGGCCATTGCCTCATCTTGCTTAAGAATGCACTGCTGTGTCTCTGCTTCCAAAAAAATAAAACCCATGCCAATTTGTGCTTAGCATTTTATTTTCTAACGCATATTTAAATTGAATATTTAATGAGATGTTTCCTTTCTTAACTGTAAGCCCTTAGTAACATGACCAATAGCAACTTCTCTGCAAGACATGGGGACCAAAAATAAGTGTTAAACCTGCTGTTGTCATTAACCTCTTGAACTCTTAGTTTGAACTGTAATAGACTAGGCCAAATTCATTAGTGGTATTGCACAATTTATATCAATGGCAACACACCCAGGGTTAAATTTGGCCAATAGCTGATATAGGAGGAACTTTGTGATCTGCAGTGAAATTCTATGGACTATACCAGGGACAGAAAAGAAGATAACCTCTAGTAGATCCTAAATAATTTAAGTGATTGATTTATTAGGCTGATCTATACTACAGATTTCAGTTGTCATAAGTCGCTTTGCGTTACCATATCTGTGCATATATCTACGCTCAAATTTACACACACACACACACACAGACTTTTTCAAACCTCCTGACTGTTTTTAAAATTCCTTTTCCTTATTGTCTAGAGTGGCAAACATGCCTAGCAGCTCTTCCTTTCTGTGTGCAACCATCCAACAAACCATGCTAGTTCCACACAATCTTGCCAGGAGTAGACAGGAGGGACTGAATCTCGTGGTGAAAAGATCAGTCATAGTAACATGGCCTTCCATGACCAGGTGGCACGGGAAAGGCAGCCTCTTTCACCACAAACTGCATGTCCTGCAATCCCCTCCCAAAAGTTTCTAAGGTTACTAAAAAGGATGGCTGCCTTATTTCTTCCTCTATAGTTGGATACTTGTCCATGCTGCTTTCCAATGAGTTTTCCGCAGTAAACTGGTTAGGAACACACGGGCCTGGGCAGCTTCACCGGTAGCAGCTGTGTGCTCTGTGTTTTTGTTACCCTCTTCAGCTTAAAAACATCATTGCCTGTGGAAAGTGGTGCCAATATTCAGTACTGTATGCTCATACTCTGGAATTGAGACTGAAATGCTATTGCTTCATTCAATGGACCACCCCCCCTCCAGTCCCTGGTGGGCCATATTCCTCATAGGCAAGGCTTTGTCTCACAGAGATAGGACACAACAGGCATCTAAAATCAGTGGGATACTTTTGTTACTGAGATCCGCTCTAGCAAGTGAACACCACCAGCATCCCTTCGATCTACCAAAAGCACATTAATTGCCATTCTGTGTCTGCTAAGCTGTTAGATGTCTCTTTCCTTGTGTTCTTGAGGTGGCCAGTGAATGGCTTCCTGAGCCAGGGGAGCAAGGACTAGGCTGGTGATTGGAATCACTACTAGCATGTCAATATTACCAAAGATAATCCACTGGTCGGGAAAGAATTCCCCTACTTGCAGCTTTCTGAAAAGTCCTATGTTGTTAAATTTGCACTCATCATTCACCCTCTCTGGCCAGTCCATACTGATACTGGTGAAGTGAAGCATTTCTGGCAATCCATCAATGCTTGTGTAACTGTGTAAAAATAGCTTTCTGTTGATGAGTTCTATGCAAGGTGGGCAAGTGCCAAAATGGGATATGCATGCTGTCTGTCACCCCAACACTCTTAGGATCTCCGTAGGTGCAAATCCATCCGCAACATCCTGCACATTGCAGAGAGTCAGAGTTGTGCACATCAGAAAACAAGGGCCCCAATTTCAGATTTTTCAATTCCAAAATGATTTCCCACTGAGCAGTAGCAATCCAGCACTGCAAGCTTCCCCAGGCTCCTGGTTCCAGGCACTCACTTCTCTGCTATCGGTGCAACTTTCGTTCTTGCGTCTTGGCACGGAGAGCAACGGTGAGCATCTGGAAGTTCTTCAGCCTCTGCTAGCCAGACCATACCTGCCTTACAAGCCAATGCCACCAGTTGGTGCTCATTTTGCGGGCCAAAAAAAGTCACCATTTGGAGCTGCTCCATGAACACCAACAGTCTGGCATTTTTTTTGCTACATCAGCAAATTCTCTCTGAATAAAACGCCATGTACCCTGTGGATGTGGTACTTCTTGCAGGTCTCTAAATACAGGAGAATCATGCTCTGGTCTTCCAATGTTCATGAGAATAGTGCAGAGCTCTGAGGGCTCCATGCTTCTGAAAGAGGTGTTGGATGGTGAAATTTGTCCCAAGAGTTCATGGGAATTTTTTAAGTGGAAAAAATTATGGGATATGGATGGTATTAGAGCAAGGGTGGGCAAAGGGGCCTCCGCAAGTTGGATGCAGCCCACCAAGTAGATGGATCCAGTCCGTGGATGCCCATCAGAGCCAGGAGGTGGGGGGGGAAAGTGTCCCGCTCCCTGCTCCCACCCTGCAAGGGGATTGGCCTGGGGGTCAGGGAGCGTGCAAAGTCTCCTCCTGCCCTGCAAGGAGGCAGGTGCCTAGAGGGAACCACTAGCTGTTGAGAACAGCTGGCAGTTCTCTCTAGGTGGAAGGGGTGGGGGCAAAGACTTGATATGCTCTCCCACCCCCAGACCAATCAGGGTCTGTGGGAGAGGTAGCACGGAAGTGTCCTGGCCCTGCCCTTTCGGCCAGAGGCACTGCTCCTTTCGATGCAGCCTAAGGCCACTTCAAAAATC